GGAGGCTAAGGCAAGAGAATCACTTGAGTCCAAGAGTTTGAAATTGCTGTAAGCTATGATGCCACAGCACTCTACTGAGGGTGACAAAGCAAGACTGTCTCAAAAAAATAAATAAAATAGACTGAATAAAACAGACTTTTCAGCTTCATGCATGTCCCAAACAAGAAAATTTGTCTTCTATTCCAGCAGAAAAAGAAAAAAGGTGGGGTAGCACCTTATCAGCTCTGTTTACCTTAAGGTATTACCTTTTGTGGACACCTAGACCTACTGAATTATTGCTGGTAAATGAACCAGAAGATAGCAAAAACAAATTTGGTTAGCACTGGGTTACCTTAGGATGAGGGAATGAGTGTTCTCAGTGTACAGAGGAACACAGACTCCATCCAACTTCATAATCTTCCATGTCTGCTGCTTGTCCCACTGAACCAACTTTTCCTTGTCACCTTTTAAATCAGAAGCAGTGTATATATGGGTAGGTGAAATCCAATCTGGATCGCTCAGTACTTGGGTAGGATTATCTGACAAGTACTAGCTTATGGTAAAAAGCACTACTGATATTTGTAGGGAGAATAATGGTTGAACTCAAAAAAACTCTCAGCTCAATCATTTACCTTTTCAAGTTGCTTTCCTGGTAAACTTCAGATATTTTCTCCCTCAGAATAGTTTAAAGTTCTATTTCTAGAAAAAGGACCCTAATGTCTTTTTTTGACAGTTCTCTTTCTTCTCCCCAGTTCTCCCTCTTCACTGCTGTCCATAAGCACTACAGCCTCGATCAGTGGCAAGAGTTTGCTAGACAGAATCCTGACTGTCTTGAGGTAACCCTGGGCCTATCCTGTACCCTTCCTTATCCCAGTTTTCCAGAAATCTTTTTTGGCTTCCTGGGGAACAACCCTCACCAGTGACCTCTGTTGGCTGTTCACCAGATCATCTTAGATGTCACAGCCTCCTTTGCCAGTGGCTCTTTTTCTCTCACAGCATCTGGCTGCCAGCTCAGGCACAGGCTCTTTTGACTTTGAGCGTCTGGAACAGATCTTGGAAGCTATTCCCCAAGTGAACTATATATGCCTGGATGTGGCAAATGGCTATTCTGAACACTTTGTTGAATTTGTGAAGGATTTGCGGACGCGCTTCCCCGAACACACCATAATGGTATGTTCCTATCATTCTATAGTTGGTACATTTCTCTCCTTCCATTCTGTTTTGTTCCATCAGTTCGTTTCTCCTCTGCTGCATATGATATTCCTAGCCCACTTAATTATCCATGATTATCCCTGGTCCCAAGCTTAAAATGCTTGTGTATTGGTCCATGCAGTATCTCTGACACTTTACTTTGTAAATCCAACGTCTCAGACATTACTCACCAACCATGATGGAACATTTATGCATCATATATACCTGTGGTCTATATATGTCTGCCTACTGAAATGGACATGTGCTACAATCACATAAAAGAGGTTACCTGAAACAATTAGCACTGAGGGATGTTATTTTTTACAAGCTTAGGGGAGTGATGACAAGGCCTCATTTTCATTATAGCATTGAGGGGTGTCTATCAGAAATACATACAGTTGGGCAGATGGGTATTTGGCCTACATTCTCATGTTTTCCCCCTTTCCCTAAAATCAGAGGTTCTTTGACAGAACTGTTTAAGGACAGGTTATATTGGGATCTCTTGGGGAAGGGCTGATAAATCTTTAAATCAGATCTGAGCTTGGTCCAGCAGTTCCCTTTGATTCACTGAGTGTTCCTTCATGGCACCTCAGGTCTCCTTGTTGATTACAACACATGTTTGCCTGAGGCAATAAAGTGGACCCTTGACCTTGGCTTTACCCTAGTTCAACAGTGATAAGGGCACTCACCCCCTACCTCAGCTTGGTGACAGGGGAATGGGTGGGAAGTGGCATCCTCTGAAGTAGTTAGCATAAAAGTTCTCAGAGAGGGCGGCACCTGTGGCTCAGTGGGTAGGGTGCCGGCCCCATATACCGAGGGTGGTGGGTTTGAACCTGGCCCTGGCCAGCTAAAACAGCAGTGACAACTGCAACCAAAAAATAGCTGAGGGTGGCGCCTGTGGCTCAAAGGAGCAGGGCACTGGCCCCATATACCGGAGGTGGTGGGTTCAAACCCGGCCCCAACCAAAAACTGCAAAAAAAAAAAAAAATAGCTGGGCATTGTGGTGGGCATCTGTCCCAACTTGAGAGGCTGAGGCAAGAGAATTGCTTAAGCCCAAGAATTGGAGGTTGCTTTGAGCTGTGACACCACAGCACTCTACCAAGGGCAACAAAGTGAGACTCTTATCTCAAGAAGAAGAAAAAGTTCTTAAGAGGCCTTCATGGGGGGACCTAGGCACACTTTCTTTGTAAAAATGTTGGAAAGTCATGGTCCAGGCATACTCTGTATGAGAGCCCATTACCTCCTCTCTGTTTCTGACCCAAGGATGCTCTATTTCCATTGTTCTGTCTCAGGCAGGGAATGTGGTAACAGGAGAAATGGTGGAAGAGCTAATCCTCTCTGGGGCTGACATCGTCAAGGTGGGAATTGGGTCAGGTAAGCGGGTTCATTGAGGCCACTGGCTACTCCTTTGATGGCAAACAACTGTGGAGCACTTCATTCTTACCCTTGTCATGTTCTTCCTAGGCTCTGTGTGTACCACTCGGAAGAAGACCGGAGTGGGGTATCCACAGCTCAGTGCAGTGATGGAGTGTGCTGATGCTGCTCATGGCCTTAATGGCCACATCATTTCAGTAAGGCTCAAGGGCAGGGTAGGGCCTGAGGCTGCCAAACAGCTGGGTTTTCAGCAGGGTATAGAGGCTTTGGTAGGTATGGATCAGGACTCCTGAGTTCTTGTCAGCTCTGAGGTGGGCCATTGGAACATCACTGAGAGGACTTGAAAAATTCATATTATATATTTGAAGTGCCCCTTACTTTGCAGGATGGAGGCTGCAGCTGTCCTGGGGATGTGGCCAAGGCTTTTGGTAAGGACTTTGGGAGGGCATGGAAGGAGGATCCTGTAGAAGAGGATGAGTCACCTCTGAGGGTCTTGGATCAGGCTAGGAGAGGCTCAGGAAACCATTCAGATTCTTTCATTATATGAACTAGTGACCTGGAAGCCTGTGATATCACCTGAGGCAAGCCATCCAGGGACACCTGAGACTCTGATTAAGCCATCTGATTGTCCCCAGGATTGCTGCATAATGTAGATTCCTGAGCCCCACCCAAGAACTACAAAGTCAGCCTCTAAGGAAAGGGGGCTGCAATCTGCATTTTATACAGTTTCCCAGGTGATTCTTATGTACATTAAAGTTGGAGACCTTTGCTCTTAGGATACATGAAATGAGTTGTTTAGCTAGACATAGTAAATTAAATGAATGGAAGATAGCAAAAGCAGCAAAAGGAGAGAGCAAAAGCAAAAGAAATCTCTAGAGCCTTTTACATTTTTATATATATATGTTTTTGAGACAGAGTCACACTCTGTTGCCCAGACTAGAGTGTGTAGCCTCAGCCTAGCTCACAACAACATCAAACTGCATTCAGATGATCCTGCCTCAGCCTCTGCTGTAGCTGGGACTATAGGCACATGCTACAACATCTGGCTCATCTTTTTTATGATTATTATTTTAGTAGAGATGGGGTCTTGTCCTCGTTCAGGCTAGTCTCAAATTCCTAAGCTCAAGGGATCCTCCTGACTCAGCCTCCCAGAGTTCTAGGATTACAGGTATGAGCCTCTATACCCAACCAGAAATTTTTTTTTTTAATCTTGGGGAAATTGCACTCACTGAGGAGCAGAGGCCAGGGCACATCTTGTGTGGTTTGTGGGTTATCCAGGGAAACAGAACCAGGAAGATGATGAATTCATTGTCAGGACTAGGAATTTGGTGTGAGTTGCTTTTGAAGTTAGCCATGTGGGCACCTTGGCCGGATTCATCTCTTTCCCTTCTCCTTGATAGGGGCAGGGGCTGATTTTGTGATGCTGGGTGGCATGCTGGCTGGGCACAGTGAGTCAGGTGGTGAGCTCACTGAGAAGAATGGCAAGAAGTACAAACTCTTTTATGGAATGAGTTCTGAAATGGCCATGAAGAAGTATTATCAAAGCATGGCTGAGTACAGGTACGTGTGGAGGCTCAGGAGCTGAGGGGTCTTGGAGAGCATGACAAAGTAGTATAGAGGCAGAACTCAGAAATGGGAGACAGATGGTACAGTTCTCGGGAGAAGAGTGGTGAACCAGGGCTCAATGCTAGGGACTGGGGAAGAGTCCTTGGGCTTAAGGCAGTGGTTCTCAACCTTCTTAATGCCACGACCATTTAATACAGTTCCTCATGTTATGGTGACCTCCCAACCATAAAATTATTTTTGTTGCTACTTCATAACTGTAATTTTGCTACTGTTATGAATCGTAATGTAAATATCTGATATGCAGGATGTATTTAGGTGACCCCTGTAAAAGCATGATTTGACCCCCAAAGCATTCGCCACCCACAGGTTGAGAACCACTGGCTTAAGGAATCCAGAAGGAGAAAGTAATAAAGTTTTTCTTATTCTAAGGGCCTCAGAGGGAAAGACAGTGGAAATTCCCTTTAAAGGGGATGTGGAACATACCATCCGAGACATCCTAGGAGGGATTCGCTCTACATGTACTTATGTGGGAGCAGCTCAGCTGAAGGAGTTGAGCCGTAGAACTACCTTTATCCGAGTCACCCAGCAGCTGAATCCAATGTTTAGTGATGAGCACTAGAGCTGAGCAATTCTGCCTTCCCAAGGCACCAGCACTCTACCTTGGGGCTTCACAAGAGGGCTGTTCACCCATCACAGCTACTGCAGCTATGAATTCTCATTTCCTATCATCTCCTGTGGGCTCCTGCAGTAACTCTATACTTCTCAATCTGCACACTCAAAGTGCTTAAGGCACTCACTGGAAAGAAACAAAGACAACAACAGTCCAAGAAAATGACAAAATAATCAAATGGGAATCTGGGCACCTAATATCTTGAAGATTATTAAAAGAAAAAGATGCTGATTGAAACATAAATGTTTTACATGGCCTTGATCTGAAAGAGGCAGCCTCTTCAGAATCATGTCTTGTAAATGGGACCTTTGAATATCTAAAAGTCTCAGAAGTGTTTACATATTTGAAATACCTCAATAAAGAAAGATTCTACTGACTTCAAAGAGATGCTGGGGCTTTCTGCACAAGGTCAGCATGTGGGAGCTGCTTCAGGGTGGGTGGGGTTAGGGTTAGCACTGACCCAGTGGGATCAAGGACAATGAGTATTATTCTCATGAAATATCTCCATTCCAGTCTCACCGCCCCCAGATACCATGGCAGCATGAAAATTTACAAAGTTTATTCTGGCATTAGGACTCATGTATTTTCAGAATAGCAAAAGGACATTTCCCTTCCAGACTCTCAATCCTGGTAACCCTTCTGGGCACAGCTGAACAGTACTTTCCAAGAGAAGAAAAAAAGGTAAAGAGATTCTTCCAGTTCTGTTTTGAAGAATGACTTATGCTGACCTTATGGAAGCCTTAATTCCCCTCCCTTAAATCAAAACAGTATTCTAACAAATCCATCTTTTTAAGTTTAATTTAAAATCAAATGTTACAAAGTATTTTTAGCAATGTAGTCGGGCAACCTAAGCCTGGGCTTCCATTTCATTCCCACTAAACTTGCAGAGTTGAGAAGGTAGGAGATGGGCGCAAAGGGCATTTTAGTCCTGTCACAGGGGTCTAGAGCTGTCTATACAGTGATGGGAAGGGACAGGCATGGTAATGGGGCCAGAAGGGTGAAGGTATTCAGAAAAGGTGGGGATCAGTGTGTCAAACTTTGTCTTCTGATAGTTTTCCAGAGACTCCTGTAGGGAAGGGAGCAGGGAGAGCCTATCACCCCAAACCATTCCTTGAACTCTCTGTATTCTGGAGCATGTAGATTTCTCAGTCTTGTTCTGCCCATCCCCTTCCCCAGCCTTCTGTGCCTTCCTACTCACCTTTCCTTTCCTCTGGCCATTTTCTTCCTCATCAGAGTCTAAAACCAAGTCCCCTATGGTAATGACGGAGCTGCACAGAGATGAAGGACTCACTGCAGGAAGGAAACCAGAATCAAACTACTCTTTGTAGGGGAATAGAAGTTCTTAAGAATCCCTAAGAGAAGAGGCTATCTGATCCAATTCTAACTCAGATTTCCTACCTACCTGGCTTTCTGGCCCTAGGAGGTGATAATAATAGTCTCAGGGGGTCCATGTAGGAATCCAAGCAATTCCTGAGGTAGGAGCAAGCAAACAGGATAGGATGAAGGGAAAGCTGGCAGAGAATGTTCCTAGTGGGGAGAAGCAATTCTGTTCCACTCACTCCTTTTGCTCTGAGGCAGACAAGTCAACTGGATTTTCCTTCAGAGCCCTTCCCCCCATGGTCTGGTGTGGACTCTTAGATTTGCCAGTGGAGCCTGTTCTTGTGTCCACAGCACCTGTTGGATCTGCTGTGTGTATCCCACGTTCTCTGTTTTCAGGCTTAGAGATAACCTGGGTTGGTGAGCCCAGATTCCTAAAGGGAAAGAGCATGACCATGGGGCGTTCCTTATGGCCTCCCCAAGCAGATGCCCATTGGGACTGGACTCTTCGCCGGCCTAGAGGGGCCAGGTTGAAGTGGTGGCCAGCTAAAGGTTCTGGGTGCTTCCTTGAAACTGGTTCTTGAGGACTGTGTGGGCCAGTCTTGGCTTTCACTAGAGGACTGTGGAGTGCTAGTCTTGGTTGCTGAAGAGCTTGTTCCTCGGGCTCTGTGAGGCTCAATGAATCACTAACAGAATACTCTGAAAAAGATAACGAGACTCCTTATGAAAGGAACAGATAGTAGAATAACTCAGTCTGGTTTCTTGTACTTCAAGCCCATGTGACTATTCCACTAGGCTGCTTAAAAAGGTCTCATGTTAAACACTATACCACCAAATTACAAGTACCTGGAAGTGGCCAACCCATGTCTGCAGCATACTGACTCAAGACAACAGAAGTGGTGATAGAAACTCCAGGCTGCATCCAACTCAGCACATTCTGAAGCTGTGGGCAGGGAGAGAGAGATAAAGACAACAGTTTTTGAAGTAACCACCCCACACTCTGCCCTCACATGATTTACTCCAGCAAAACCTGCTGTGCCTGCAGTGTAGGCAGTGCTTTCTCCAGCTGACACAAATATTCAAAAAATAGCTTTTCCATGGCATCCAGAAAGGATTCCCCATATTCTTGTTCAAGTTCCTGCAGAATGAAAGAAGCAGGTCAGAAGAGGATCAGACAAAATAGGAGCCACATAGACTCCAAACCAGTCAGTCTCACCTGCAGCTTCAAGGCCAAATCCACTGTAGTCTCTGACAACTCCTTCACCTGCTTACAAAAACTTTCCTGTGCCTCCAAGATCTTCCTCAGATCCCGCTCTGTCTGTTGAGGATATGGAGGACAAGTTAGGAACCCTAGAATCCAGTGGCCAGCAGGAAGGGCAATAGGTTAGGGCTCGTTCAGGGATTACTCACAACTTTTGGGTCCCGTACTACAGGTCCAGATTCTGGGAAGTGATGATTCAGGGCATTCAGGACCTGGGCCCAAGGCTGGCCCTGCAGGATCATCTCCACTACCACCTATACAGTAATAAACTCAGAATCTCCACTTCGGGGCAAGGTGCCCTTTTCCAACTCGCACCCTCACATCCCGCCCCTATCTCCCGTTCCAGATTCCACTTGCTCTAATACCTTGGCCTTTAGACCCATGCACAGTCGTTCATAGTGCCGGTAGCGAACCAAACCAGGGGCAGCAGCGCGCAGGGATCGCAGAAACTCCAGAACCCGGGGAAAATGCTCCACGCAGCGTTCACGCACGACGTGCCAGGTGGCTGCAGCTGCGAAGCGCAGAGCTGCGGGACCGGCTCCCGGGGGCGTGGCCATGGCCAGAGGGTTCCGCCCCGGGGAGGTCCCTTCGGGTCCTGGACCAAGAGTGGGCTTCCCGACTCCTGGGGGCGGGGTTCCGGCAGCCCTCAGTGGCTCTGATCTTTAGACCTGCGTGGGGTACTATGTGATCCAAGTCAGTTCCCTTCCATGGGGCACCAGAATTCTGGGGGCCTTCTCCTAACTCGGGCTGGAAAGAAGGTGGCCGTCTCCACTGGCACCCGGTCGCTCAACTTTAAACGCCGCCGCTGTCTCGAATCACTTCCGGCTCTGTGACTAGTTTCTCTTGCCCCGGAAAATGTGTTTGGAGAGAACCAATAGGCGGCCAGACAGGAAAATGTGACGTCGCGCCATAGGCCACGCCCAAGCCTGGCCTGCTCCCTTGCTTCCCCGCGCTTCACTAGGCTTCGAGGCCGCTGATGGCCGCTATTCCCTGTCCTCGCCTCCCGGCCTCTGCCTTTCTTCTCAGCGTCTACAGAGAAGTCTCGTCGCTTCTCCAAGTCTCGACTTCCTAGTCTGTTAAGCGGCGATCATGCTGCCGCTCCTTCCCATTGTCTTCACCATTGAATTACGAGTCCTTAAATTACCAGACCCCGAACCAGCATCTGCAAAGCCTTATCCCGGCGGCGAGTCACTCAGGAAGAATTCTGAGGTTCATTTTACAAACAGAAGAGGGCGCCCGCCTTCAGAAAATAAAATGCGAGGTTCGAAAAGATAACGTTCAATTGTTAGCCTGGTTTTCTCTGCATGGTGGGATTATAGGTAATTTTTTTGTACTTTTCTTTGTTACATTTTTTCTATATTATATATATAGAAAATCATATATATATATAATTTTTTTAAAAAAGTCTCACTGTGTAGGTCTCACTCGGTGGTTAGAGTGCATGTGGCCCGCACCCTAACCACCCAGCTACGTCGCCGAGCCGGGTGTATCTCTTGCAAGTTAAAGAATTTCCATATTCCAAGGGGACCTGTAGTGGGTGCATTTATCTGTGGCACTGCCGTGCTTAACGTAAGGGAAAATGTGAAGCCTTCCAGGAAGGCGTGCAGTGTTCCTACAGGGGTGCTGCAGGGGGCACCATAGGCAGTGCTGTGACACCTCTCCCCTCTTCTATATGTAAAGGCTAAGTTGCAGTCAGGACGGCACAGAACTGTCATGCCAGTTCCTTCCCTTTGGACCACATATGTTCCCGGGATCTGTCCTTTGTTGCAGACCTGGGTTTTGTGCTGGGCCACGCACATCCTGCTGTAAGTACCATTCTCTCTGTCAGACCAAATTTGTGCCCCATATCAGGAGTCAGGAAAGTGGGCCTACAGGGAGCCTTGGCCTCGTCAAATAGGAACTATATTAGCTTCCGTGTGGGGAATGAATCACATAAATAAGGCCCTGTCCAAGAGCGGTTACAGACGTGTGGCTGCAGCCAGAGGCGTTCAGGATTAAACAAAGGACCAATTTGAAGGGAAGCCCTGGGGTTGAGTGCTGTGGAGTCATACCTCACAGCAACCTCAAACTCTTGGACTCAAGCAGTCCCCTTGCCTCTTTCTGCCTAGAAGCTGGGACTACAGGGACCCGCCCGGTCTCCTGGCTAGTTTTTCTATTTTTAGCAGAGACAGCGTCTTGCTCTTGCTCAAGCTGGTCTTGACCTCCTGAACTCAATCAATCCTTCCGCCTTGGCCTCCCAGAGTGCTAGGATTGCAGGCGTGAGCAACCGCCTCTGTATCACGTATTTATCATATATTTTTTTTAAAGCTCCAGTTTTAGAAAGAGGAGGCAGAAGGGATAAATAAACACTAATGTTAATAAATACTATGTAGGACACAAAATAGCGTGACATACTAAAGACATACTAAAGAGATTGGGAGGCAGGAAAACTAATCAGATTGGATGGTCAGGGGAGACCACCCCAAGGAGGTGACTTTTTTTTATTTAGGAGATGAACTTTTAACTGAGACCTGAATAATGGGAGGAAGGGGGGCTGGCTATTGACCTTCTAGAAGGAAGAGGAGGGGCCAAGCCTTAGGTTGAAGGAGGCTGGAGCACATGGACCACATGAGGCTGGAGAGGTCTGTAGGAGCCCAGTAGATAAAGGTAAGACTTTGGATTATTCCAAGGATGATAGGAAGGCATCAGAAAGTTTTAAGCAGGAGAGTAGCAGGGTTTAATGTGCAGTTTAGGAAATTAGATAATATTCAGGAACAAGAGTGGAAACCCACCAGGTGCTTGGCAGTTCTGTACGTACAGAGCATGGTGACAGTGTCACTGGAGAGAAAAGGATTCAGGTGTATTTTGGAGGTAGAGCTGATAAGACTTGGCTAAAAAATTGACTATTAGAGGGGAAAAGGCTGGTATATTGGCTCATCCCTGTAATCCTAGCATTCTGGGAGGCTGAGGAGGATGAATTGCTTGAGCTCAGAAATTTGAGACCAGCAAGACCCCATCTCTACTAATAATACAAAAACTAGCCAGGCATTGGGGCGGGTGCCTATAGTCTCAGCAACTTGGGAGGCTGAGACAGAAGGATCGTTTGAGCCCAGGAGTTTGACATTGAGTAAGCTATGATGATATCACGGCACCCTACAGAGTGAGACTCTGCCTCCAGAAAAAGAGAGGAATAAGGAGTAACTTGTAGATTTTTGGCTTGAGCAGCTGGTCATTATGAAGTAACTTAGGAGACCTGGAAAAATAGAGTCGGACCCCCACTTAGGTTAGTTAATTGGTAATTTATTTTACCTGCCGCAGGGGCTGCTGCTCCGAGAGACAGTCAGCAGCAGCCCAGGTGTGAGGGTGAGTTACCTTTTATAGGCTTTGGGCAAGCATATTACAGAAGCAAAATGTGACTGGTTAAGGGGGGGTTACAACTTGGGTAGTCATGGATATAGCAATGGAACAATAATACAGCTTTGGTTGACAATGGATACATCTCATATCACAATGGTTATGGTTATACAACAGTAATTAATCAAGTCTCAATGAGTTTTCCACTGTTGTTTATCTACTGAGAACTTGGGGGTTTTGTGAAACTTGGCACTTTTCTTCCTTGTACTTGAAGCTTGTTCTTGGCAATCTTAGAAGAAGGTTGGCCTTCTTGTTGTACTTCTTGCTTGTTCTTGGCAACCTTAGGGAAGAAGGGGGCCTGGAAACATAGCTGTCGGCCACCCTGGGGGGAGGAGGGACTTCCCTTGTTCCTGGAGTCGACTCTAGGGGCAGGAGGGAGGAGGAGGGAAATGGGCTAGAGAGGGGGACTGGATAACAGGAGTGGGCAGGGGAAAGAGGGCTGGGTTACAACAATTATTGAAACATCGAGATGGGGAAAACTAGAGAATAAGAGTTTGGGAGTGGAATCAAGAGCTCCTTGGACCACTTTCAGAAAATATAGGCTATAAAGCCAGACTACCATATTTCCAGTCCTATTCTGGACTGCTAAATGATTTTAGAGAAATGATCTAACTCCTTTCCCTGGGTTTCTTCTTCTGTAGAGGGGGCATAATATACAGCCTACTTTATGAATTTACTGTAAAGATTACAAGAGTTATTATATAGAGATTAGTGCCTACTCATTTACTCAGTAAGTATTTAGCAAGCATTTATATGCACTAACTTCCAAAGGACTTTGGGTTTAGGTGAAGTCAAAAGATTTTGAGCAGAGGGATTATGTGATGAGATTCACCTGCTCATTCTGGCTGCCGTGTGATGAGCAGAGTCTTAAAGTGCAAGTGTGGAAGCCAAGAGAATGACTAGGAAACCTGGTGCAATAATGCAGGTGGAAGATAGAGGCAGTTCTGGCAGGGTGGTAACTGTAGAGGTGATGGGAGCAGTCAGATTCTCTAGACTTATGGATAGAGGATAGAACCATCTAGACTTGTTGACAGACTGGATGTGGGATGTGAAAGAAAGAAAGAAAGGAATCAAGGATGACTTCAATGTTTTAAGCCCAAGACAGTCGGAAAGATGGCATTACTTTGGCAGGTTTGGTGGCTCATACCTGTAATCCTAGCACTCTGGGAGGCTGAGGTGGGAGGATCACTTGTGCTCGGGAGTCTAAGACTATCCTGAGCAAAAGCAGGACCCTGTCTCTACTAAAAATAGAAAAATTAGCCAGGTGTTGTGTTGGGCACTTGTAGCACCAGCTATTCAGCAGGCTGAGGCAGGAAGATCACTTGAACCCAGGAGTTTGAGGTTGCTGTGAGCTGACATGAGGTTGCTGTGACACCATGGTACTCTAGCTTGACAATAGAATGAGACTCTGGAGAGACAGAGAGAGAGAGATGGAATTACCACCTACTTTGATGGGGACAGCAGCAGGAGAATAAGCTAAGGGAGCCAGGGATTTGATTTGGGGCATGTAATACTTGGAGTGTTTATTAGACATTCAGTAGAGATATTGAGGAAGGCAGCAGATATGCCAGTTTCAGGTTCAAGGGAAGCAGCAGGGCTGGAGATAACAATTTTGGGAGCCAGTGGTCCTCAAAACCATAAGACTGGCTATGATCATGTAGGCAGAGCATGGCTGGACAAGAGAGAGCACCTGGAGTGGAGCCGAGGAAACTGATAATGGCAGCCACTGAGACTGAGGAGGCGACGGCCTGGGAGCCAAGACTGCTGTCCAGTCTTTAAAAATGATGTTTTCAGGCTGTGTGCGGTGGCTTATGCCTATAATCCCAGCACTCTGGGAGGCCAAGGCAGGTGGATCACTCAAGCCCACAAGTTCGAGAACAGCCTAAGCAAGAGTGAGACCCCGTCTCTACTAAAAATAGAAAAACTAATGGGGTGTCATGGTGGGCACCTGTAGTCCCAGCTACTCGGGAGACTGAGGCAAGAGGATGGCTTGAACTCAAAAGTTTGAGGTTGCTGTGAGCTATGAATGTCACGGCACTCTACTTAGGATAACAGAGTGAGACTCTGTGTCAGAAAAAAATTGTTTTCACAAAATGGCCACTCGAGGGGTGGGGAGGACTGGCCAGTGAGCTGCGTGCTGGCCCGGAAGGGAGGGGTCTGCCCCGCACCCACCAAAGGTGCAGCCAGGTGGTCAGCAACCTGTGCAGCACCCTGGGGATGCTGCTACTGGAGTGCCAAGGGACCTGGGGACACCCGGCTGGGGCGGGGGCTCCATTGTGGGCCACTCACATGACACTCCAGGAGCCAGAGCCAGTAGGAAGGACATTGGGAAGTGCTGATCTCCCCTCAAGACACTGCTTGCCAAGCCCCTAGAAATTGTTGCCATATCAGGCCCAACCTGAGGAGCCCCCAGCCC